GGGAGAGAGGTTATAGCGTCACTCACAATTGTTCCATTATTGCCTCACCAGATGACGTGGAGGCTGTGTGAGCATTAAATGCTCAGTCCCCGGTAGGAAACCGGAGAGGCCTGGGGTTCCTGGCCAAGCCCCGGCAGCTTAAGCCATTTACTCCGGGCAGCTCTGGCCGCCCGGACGTGGTGCGGTTTCCACCTCCGCTTTCCGTTCATCCCCAGCGGAGTGCCTGTGTCCACTTCGTCTTCCGCCTCTCCAAATGAAAAGTACTACTCAAGTCATCGGTTGCTCGGCAAAGTGATCTCGGTTTCAGTGCATTTTTGGACCAGCTCCGACTTTGGTAAAGCTTCCCAAATGCGGGGGTGGGCTCGTTAGAACAGAGAGGTTTTAAGAAACTTCTGATTTTCGGAACTGAAAGAGAAGAGATAAAGGGAAAGCACTAGAGGAAAGAGGTAAAATGGGAGGGTGGGGAGGAGGAGAGATAAAGGAATATCCTGCCCCTGTGTCTAAGATTCCCCAACTTGGTAGAATGTAGAAGAGGGTGCGTTATTACTATTTGCCAAGAATTCCAAGACTTTGGGGAAGGGCTGGGGTGGGGGCGGGGCAACAAAATTATCGCGAGTTCCGAGAGCGTTTGGGAACGAGATTGACTAGAAGATCTCGCGAGATTATGAGTAAACGAACGCGAGTTAGCCAGTCAGAAGTAACCGTAGAAATAAAGGAGTTTGCGGTGGGCTGGGCGGAAGAGGAAGGATAACGGCTTACGGGTGACGTAAACCCGTCTAAGTCGGTATATTGCTGCCTTGGCAAAGTTGTCTATCTCAGGGAGCTGCAGATATTCTGACGAACTGGATCGGCAGTTGGGTACTCCGAATCCACGCCTCTCTTCAGGCATGAGGCACGTGGTGGTGGAAAACACGCTCGAGTTGGACCAGCAGGTAAGCCTAATGTGCCTATTAACAGTATTCGTGAAACTTATTTTTGTTTAACGTGGTTTATGGCACAGTGTTAACTAATCACCGCCTTTTGTACTCTCCTTGTTCCTTGTAGCTTGCGGTGGGCGGTACGGTGGGCGGTTGGGGAAAAAAGTAGGTTTATTAAACTTCATGGAAGCTGCGTGGAGAGAAAATGAAGCGGTAGCGGTAATGTTTATTGTAACTGTTACTTGGGCTTGATTACGGCTGTTACACCCGGCCGCGTACTATGGCGGCTCGTTTGTGTTCGCGCGATCACTCACTGACTACTGATGGGATGGAGGTGTGCGGAAATGGACCATTTGTTGTCTTGAGGTTAGCTCTCATTGGCCGGCCTTAATTTAGGCCCCGAGTAGTCGTTGGTATGTAGGTGAAAGGCGGATTGCGACCACCGAATGTGTAGTGAGGGGACCCGCGGTAATGGCGGCGGTCTCCTTTGTCTGCAGCGCTTTAGTACGCTAAAGAAAAGCCGGGGCCTGCGGGACTCCGGCAGGCTACTGATTGTAAAAGACCACCACAGGGCTGTCTAGCTCTCCCTTGCGGACCTTTTGGCGCCGGGCTGTTGCCGCTGAGAGCTGCGGCTGAAGAGGCTGTTTCCGGAGTGGAAAGTTTTGTGACGCGGACGAGCCGGAAAGGGATGGGGCGGGGAAGGTAAAATGGCCGTGTTGTGCTGCGGTGCTGCTGCTCACCAGCATCTGCAGATAACGAAATTTGGCCAGGGTTGGTAGTCCTTTGGGACAGTTACAGATGTGGAACTGTCTTTCTTTACTTTCAGACAGTAACTGAATGGCCATTAGCCGGGGAATCCATGTGGTTTTGGGGTCTAGGGGGTGCGGTAAGTTGTGTGTTTACGTTAGGCGTTTGACTGGCGTCGATCAGAGGAAAAGACTATAGAAGAGTGTCAAGATAAAGTTTTTGTTCCTGGCTTTGTCCTGCTTAAGGAGGAAAACCTTGAAATAGGATAGAGCCATGCCTGTCCTCTCTCCTTTTGAAATGGTGTGGGGATTGGAATAAGTGATGTGAAGAGTTAGGGGCTTGTTTTCCAAACCAGGAAATTTTTATTTTCTTACTATGGTATTGCTTCCAGAAAAACACTCCAGTGAGTGTCTTAGACGCCTGAACACCTTGTTTCGGCTTTTATCTTAAACATTAAATAGGTGAAATTGACTTAGGGCAGCGATTTTCAATCTTTGTCGTCTCGTGACACAAACAGATTCTGTCGCACACCAAAAAAATTTGTTTTTTGCCTGTTTGACAAAAATAAAAAAGGTATAATTTTGATCCATTTGCACGGATTGTATTGCTGTTCTTTTTTCTTTTTAACAATCCTAAGAGAGAAGGGTTCAGTGCCTTTGGTCAGGTTTTAAAAATTCTTGCAGCATACAGGTTGGAAATCATTGATTTAGAATATTAACCTTTTACAAAAAATGTTTGATAAACATATGAATTGTAAGACAAACCTTAATGACATGAATTGATCGAGCGTTTTAACATGTAATTCATTTGAGGGATTTGACAGTCTGCTGCTTTTAGGGTATTTTACAATTAACATATTAATATGTGCATTGTGTTCAGACTTAATATGTTAAAAAGCATAAAAATTGGAAATCTGATATCAGGAATATAGGCAATTGCATTTGTAACATATTAGGTATAGCTGGAATCCCATTTAACTTTTGATAAATTGTGCTCTGGGTCATTTGAATTTAGTAGTAAGCAGATTTGATCTGGAAAAGGTTGACAGTTTAAAGAGTAGTATCTTAATTCATGGTGGGTGTATGTCAAAAATATCTTGACCTCTTTAATGCAGTATTAAAAACATTATATAGCAAATTTCCTTTGCAAACAGGTGGCAGCCTTGCTTTTTGTTTTGGTCTTTTATGCTTTTCCAAACCTTACTTTGGTATATATAATTATTGTGCTGCTTCTAAATGATTCTTGGTTACTTATTACATAATGCAATACAGCAAAATAATCTATTTTCTATGTTTGAAGTCTATCAGTGTAAAGGGGACAGATAGGAATTGAGATTTAAACATCTCTTTTGAAAGTTTGGAATGTAATTTGTGCCACTTAGTAGCTTTATGATCAGCAAGTGTTCTGTACTTGTCTCATCTCCAAAATTGAAGAAGTACTGCCTTCACACAGCATGGGAAACATTAAATGATGCAGGGCTAAATAAAGTGGAACAGTACTCTCACTGCATGATGGGTAGTAGTGGTGGTGGTGGTATGGCTGCATAGGAATATATTCAAATTAGAAACAGTTGCTCAGTATTTAACAGGTAAAGAAATTAATCTTCAAATAGCCCTAACGTTTTTCAGGCAGATCTTTTTGGGCTTAATAACAAGTAAACACTAGTGGCTTTGAGAAATTGATGGTAATTTAGTTTGGTTATTGCAGAACTTTTACTATGGACAGTTTTTACAGGAAAACTTGCTTTTGATGAATGTATTTGAAACACCTGTACTGGTGTGCTTCTGCTAACTGGGTCTGGCCTTTTGCATTTATCCTACAGTATAGACTGAAAAGGCATTCTTAAAACTAGAAAGGCAGACAGGGCAACTAGCTAGTAAGTGCTGCTTGAGTAGAACTGGAGTTTAGGACCTGATTTGTCTTTTGTAAGGCTATCTGAACTTGACAACCCGCGGCACCCTCCAGTAGTAGTATATGTAGTATGTCAGCATGTGAGCTATTAACATCTCTCTCCTCCTAGTTTGCTGGTCTAGACCTGAACCCTCCTGATAACCAGAGTAAAGGAGGAAGTACAGCAAGCAGTAAGTAAAATTTTTTTTGTTGTCTAGAATCTTTATTAGAGCTTCATGTTACTCTGATTGTAATGTTCTAACTTTAAAACTTGTCCTCCTTTTTTACCGATAAATATTTGAAGTATTCTGGCATGTCTGGATAATAAAAGAAACTGGTTGGTTCTTTTTTGAGTGGAAACAATCATGTAGAAAAGAAGTTAAGGTAACTTAACTTCAAATTTTTAGAAAACTAATTACATCCAGTATAAATCGTGGCCAAGCATGAAAAGAGATGAGAGTATGTCCATTTTCTTATCAGTTTGCTTGAAATATGTTGAACCTAATGAAGAGAACTTGTACATTTATGTGTTATAGCTACTGCTACTCATTTCCCTTGAAGAATGGGAGATTTAATGATACAAGTAGGCTGTGCTGATTCTTTGGTAGTAGTTAGAATTAAAATGTTAGCCATGTTAAAGTCTTCTGAGATGAAGATCTTTTGGAAAGGGGGGTATTAATATGTTTATTCACTTATTTTTTGAGACAGTTTAGTGCTTAGATAGGGAAAGGAAGTTGGTGGTGTATTGTTTGTTTGGCAGGAGATCTTAGCTTAGACCAAAGTTTTCAAGAAGGCAGTGGGTACTTTGAGAAGCCTCTTTGTTTGGTCAGTTCATATTGCATATTATTTGTTATTATATGGTTAATTACAATTACAAGGATTTAATTATAGATCAGGATACTTAATTCAATACTAAGTTAAGAGATTTAGTTAAGATTTTAATTTTTAGGTAATAGTTGACTTCTATTTTATAGGTTAAGTTCTCATGTTTCTTAATTGTAGACTAGAGAAAATCATTTCCTTGTTGGAATAATTTTTTCTTTCCAGCTATTACATATTTTTATTATATGTTCATTTTAACAGAGTAGAAATAGCTTACTTTGCGGTAATTGAAATTAGTTGATTGATTCAGTAGATTTTTTTTCTTTGTAGGCTGTTTTGTTACAGTTATGGTTATATTTATTAAATGTTATAATTCATGTAACAATTTCCTGAAATAGCAGGACCTTTTAAAACATTTGTCAAATAACCAGTAGTAACTACCAAAATGTACTTGGTTTGAGGATTTCTTTTCTTAGAATACCTGCCACAGACTTGCTTCTCTCTACCCATTTGGGGAAGGGGGATAGGAGTTAGGATAAAAATTTAAGCAAAATCCATTTTCATATATTTTCCCCTATGCAAAATATTTAAAGAAAAGTAGTTTAAAAGTGTTCTCTAGTTCTTTTTAAATAGACATTGTTATAAAAATCTGTGGTTTTTGAGAATATGATAGGCTTTTAATTTCACATTTTCTCTTTAGAAGGGCGCTATATACCTCCTCACTTACGGAACAGAGAAGCATCTAAAGGTAGGTAGGTAGGTGGTTATGACAACTTAGAGGTAACTTCTGGAAATGTATACACAATTTCTCTCTTTTGATTCTTTCTATTGTCAAGAACCAGCATTCCCTTTCAAAAGTTAATCTAATGTTGCGTAATGGATTGTTCTTATTTCTTTTGACCAACTTTGAGCCCAGAGTTTTACTAGCATAATTTTATTACTATGTGCTTTATTTGTTTGTAAACATTAACATGATTTCTCTTTTAAAGATGTGTTTGTGGGGGTTTCCAATTATATAAAACCACATGGCAATAAAGTGCTACTTAGTGCAGCCTTGAAATGTTGCCTAAGTAAAAATAGGATTATTGCAGAATAATCAATTGCAAGATGACAACCTTTTGGACACACTCAGTAGGTTGGAGGGATTGACTAGTGTCACTTTTTTCCTGAACTTTACTTGCTAGGGTTTGTCTGAAATGTTATTAAAATATTGATAACTTTTAGGATTAAGTTTTTAATGTAGAGTGATGGGTTATTAGGAACATACAGTTGGGATGACAATTTAAATGCTGTAGATTGATCAAGATATGGATCTGAAATTTTCTCAAGAAGAGAAAGTAAAGCCAAAAGGAAAGAAGTGTGTGGATGGGTGGTATTGGAAAGGGGTAAAAATAAAATGTAGATTATATTTGAGCAATATTCCCTCATATGTAGTATGTATTTTACAGCATTAAACACTTAAGTCTGTATGGATTTACCAAGTGATCACTTAGCTGATGATAGGATATTCTTTTTCAAAGTGTCTACTCTTTTATCATGAGTATTTCTCCAAATGTATCTGTCTGGGCTTGCATCCAAGAGGGACTGGCGGTAACTTAGGAAGTTAAGAAATGGAAGAAACCTTAAAAATTTAACAATCTTTCTCTGGCTAGTAAAGGCTGTTGGTCAACTGGCTGGTTACCAGTGGAGTTATAAAGCAGAGGGAAAGTAACTTCATTTATTTATAAACTTTAAAACATTTAACAAAATGTCTGAATGTAAACTTAATTGTTATGAGTTTACCCTTGTCACTTTTTTCTGTCTATAGGTGTCTTCTAGAGACATGTACATAGAGAAATAAAGCAAGGCTGGGATTTGCTCTTTTTCCCTATTACACCTGATTCTCTCTAACCTTATACAGACAGCATAATATTGCTCGACACCTAGGACTTGGAAAACAGTATACATGAGTATGAAGTACAAATAAGGGTTCTTCTGTTATTTTGGTGGTTAATACTAAAACTGGATATAGCAATACCTTAATGTGAATAGTTACTCTCCCCACACACACAAGAAGTTGCATTTAATAGTCTGTTGCACAGTTTATAAAATGCATTTACATAAGTCAGCGTTTCTCAGCCTAGAACTAGTGACATGTTGGGCTAGATAATTCTTTGTTGTGCAAGGCTCTCTTGTGCCTTGTAGGGTGTTTAACAGTATCCCTGGCATTGGGGATAGTACCAGTACCAGCCCCCTAGTTGGAGCAGCCATGTATTTAACATTACCAAATGTCTCCTGGGGGGCAAAACCACCCCTAGTTGAGAACCACTGACATAAGTCATCTCATACCATTTGGGGTAAACAGTAATCCAGACTGAAGGTGGTGGTGTCCATGATAACATTGCAACATGACATAACATCCAAATGACTTGACCAGACTTGCTCAGGGGCTATCAGTGACCTTGAATTTGATCCCAGACCTTCTGCATGCCTTACCTCCATAAGCCCATCACTGCCTGGAAATATGAGCTTTGATTTACAAAGGACTTGAGAAAACCAACATCCTTCATGAAAAGTGTCAGAGCCAGAATCAAGCCAAAGCTTACTGATTTCCAAGGCCATGCTATTTCCTATTTTACAAAGAACAAAGAGCTGTGCTAGTGTTAAAAGGAAAACTATTTTCACCCTTGAAGATGGTTTCTGTTAACTCCAAATGGCACCAGATGTTAAGTCTCAATCCTTGAGTTTTTGCTAAGGAAGAATTCAGAGCCAGGACTCAAATATAAGCAGTTTATTTAGAAGTTCACAGGTAGAAGAAGTGAGCCAGATTGGCTGCATGGACTCAGGAAGCACGTTACAGAGGCAAAAGAAAGGCCCTTGGAACTTAGAGGAGACAGAAAGGCAAAGAAAACACACCCCAAGGGGAAGGGGAAAAGCACAAAAGAGAGAGAGAGAGGAAGATAGGCAATTACTGTTTATAGGGGTACTTTTGAAAACAACATTAAAATTCTGCTAGAGGCGTGGCTGGTGTGGCTCAGTTGGTTGGGTGTTACACACCAGGAGGTTGCCAGTTCTGTTCCTGATCAAGGGCATATGCGTGGGTTGCAGGCATGGGTCTTGCAGGAGGCAGCCAATTAATGTTTCTCTCCCACTCCCTGTCTCTAAAATCAAACTATTCCTTTAAAAAAAAAAAAAAAGTAAAAGTCTGCTGGAGCAAAGTAGACAACTTTGAAACTTTTTCTGTTGACTGTTTCCACTTATTTCTTCTAGATGATGTCAAAGTAAGCCAGATTATTTCTTACTTTTTGAAGATACTCAAGTGATTTGTCATGTTTACATTTCTGTTGATACTACCATGTTGATACTACCAAGTTCTTTTATTGAATAAGTTTCTGTTATTCACCATGCTGCTTAGTACATGGATCCCAAATGAGTAGTTTGAGCATAATTTGACTGCCTGTAATTGGAGCTTCATCCTTTGTTAAATCTTGAAAGTTTCTGTCCTAATACATTTGACATATTTATTCTTACTGGTAATCATGTTGTAAATTTCTTAATTTAAGCTTTTCTGTAGGGGGTTATCTAGTTGAGGTTATATTTAGCTGAGAATTCTAAAATGTATTTGCTACACAGTATATATTTAAGTCAATTTTTGTATTCAGGGTTTTTGAGTTTATATTTAGGGACAGGACATGATAAACAAGTATCTTAGAAGTTGCCTGGCTACTGCCTTCCAGCTTGATGTTTTGTTCCAGTGTACACTTGAAACCTGTATGGTTTTGCCCAATCAGGTGTGGCTCAGTGGTTGAGCTTTGAGCTAGGATCCAGGAGATGGTGGTTTGATTCCTGATCAGGGCACATATCCAGGTTGCAGGCTCAATCCCCAGTCGAGGGCATGCAGGAGGCAGCTGATCAGTGATGACTGTCTCATCATTGATACTTCTGTCTCTCCCTTCTCCTCTCCCTTCCTCTCCCTGAAATCAGTAAAGATATTAAAGAAAACACCTGTATGGTTTTGTGAATTACTGTACCAATAAAGTCACTTTTATTTTTTTACTTTTTAAATACATGTTTTTATTGATTTCAGAGAGGGAAAGGGAAAGAGATAGAAACATCAGTGATGAGAGAGAGTCATTGATCAGCTGCCTCCGGCATGCTGGGGAGGGGGGGAGATCGAGCCTGCAACCCCGGTGTGTACCCTGACTGGGAATCCAACCATGCTCTCCTGGATCATAGGTGGATGCTCAACTCCTGAGCCACGCTGGCGGGGCAATAAATATTTTAAAGAAGAAATCTTGCCACAGTCTTGTTTAAAGTAATCTCCTTGGCCTGGCAGGGTGTGTGTAAGTGGTTGATCATCGACCAGGAGATCAAAGTTCTTTTCCCACAGGGCACAGGCCCAGGTTGCAGGCTCGATCCCCCCAGTAGAGGATGTGCAGAAGGCAGCAGATCCATGACTCTCATCATTGATGTTTCTCTCCCCCTTCCTCTCTCTGAAATCAATAAAGATATGTTTTAAAAATAAGTCATCTCCCTGTAGTAGACTCGTTTCATTGTTTTTGTTCATTTCTCAGGGATGGTATTCATTCAGCACATTATTATTCAGCACATCATGGGGTTACTTTGCTTAAGAAATAGAATTTCTAGAGGAAAAGAGGATTAAAGATAGGAGGGGGAAAATCAAATTTTTTTAACTGTAAACCAGTTATCTAAGTCTTGGCTCTTTTTTCCAATGTTTTGATTAAAATAATCCCATTGACATTGAGTGTTTCTTCCCTTCCCTCTCCCACCCCCCATTAAGGAAGGCTGTCTGAAGAACCACTTATTTGAAAAGATGGGAATCTTCATAAAAGTATTGTCAACTTCTAATTTTTGCCTTTTTTTTTTTTTTGGGAAGGATTCCATGATAAAGACAGTTCAGGGTGGAGTTGTAGTAAAGATAAAGACGTATATAGCAGTTTTGGGTCTCGAGATTCAAGAGGAAAATCCAGTTACTACAGTGATCGTGGAAGTGGATCAAGGGGAAGGTAAATTCTCAGCTTGCAAGTGTGTGTGTATACATACAGTAAGAGTTTAAGAACCAACTTTTTGATATATTTTCAATCTGTACTTTCTTGATCTTTAATCATAATTTTCCCCCCTTAACAGACAATCTTTCTATGATGGGTTTTAAGCAAAGTGGTTTGTTAATTCTTGATTCTAAAAAGTCTTTACTAGGTTTTTTATTTTTAAGCATAAATTACATGCAATAAAAATATGCTATTTGTCATATAGATTTGTTACTTTTATGTAATTATTTATGGTTTCTCTGTGTCAAGTAAACTTTTTTATGACTGCAACAAGGATGATACATGGGTCTTAAGAGCTTTATGTCTGTGGTTAGTCCTGTACTGTTTTTCACAAATAAAACTAAAACTGCCCGGCAGAGCATGGCTCAGTGGTTGAGCATCGGCCCAGGATCCAGGTGATCGGGGTTCAATTCCCGGACAGGGCATATGCCCGGGTTGCGGGCTCAATCAGTGACTTTCTCATCATTGATGTTTCTATCTCTCTCTCTCCCTCTCCTTTCCTCCCTCTGAAATCGATAAGGATATATTTTTTAAAAACCAAAACTAAAAATCTTAAGTCTTACCACAAAAGAGATTTTTCTTGTATATGCAAATATATCCAAGGTATTGACATTCATGATGTTTTGTTTTCCTAATAAGTATATTTACAGTATATTTATATTTATAAAATGAAGATGTAAAGTATACATTATAAGTATTATGAAACAGCATGTAAGACAAGCCGAATAATTTTGTAAATAGCTCTCAAGTATGCTGTTTTTTAAAAAATTAAAGATGTATAAATTGTACATTAATCACTGGTTAGGTAGAGATCTTTAGTTTACAAATGAGGTAGTTAAAATTGAATTGTTGACATCTTTCAAAGGTATTTACTACTAACAATTCATCTAATATATATGTATGTGTCTAGAAATCCAGTAATGTGATACTAGCTTAATGGCATTCTGATCAATTACTTGTGCTTTTCAGGTTTGATGATCGTGGACGGAGTGACTATGATGGTATTGGCAGTCGTGGTGACAGGACTGGTTTTGGCAAATTTGATCGCAGTGGACACAGTCGATGGTGTGACAGATCAGATGATGATGATTGGTCAAAACCACTTCCACCAAGTGAACGTTTGGAGCAGTAAGTTTTTGATATGTATGTTGATTGTTATGAAACTTACTGTTTATTACAACATGTAATAATCTTTTGATTTTAGGGAGCTGTTTTCTGGAGGAAACACTGGGATTAATTTTGAGAAATACGATGATATTCCAGTAGAGGCAACCGGCAATAACTGTCCTCCACATATTGAAAGTGTAAGTTGTATTGTTTTATTTTTGTACAGTTATTTAAAGTTACTACCAAAAACCTCATTGGGTTATGAAAAAGAAGCTGAAATTAATGTCACCATTACGAGTAGTCCTGGAGTAGAAAAACTGCCAACCATAAGAACTCTATGGTACATTAGACTCAGGAGTCTGTTTTCTTAAAAAATACCATGATATCTCTGTCTAAAATCAAAGCAACTGTAAACTCAATCACAACTAGACATTTAATTAGTTACTTTTGTACTTAATGTTAGTATGAAACATTTCAACAGATAAGGCATTTCTAGTTGTATTGTGTTTGATTGACCTGATTAAATTTCTTTTGACAGTTCAGCGATATTGAAATGGGAGAAATTGTCATGGGGAACATTGAGCTTACTCGTTACACTCGCCCTACTCCAGTGCAAAAATATGCCATTCCTATTATCAAAGAAAAAAGAGACTTGATGGCTTGTGCCCAAACAGGTAAGCTCACTTGATGAAGAATAAATGTTAGTTTTAACTGGTCTTAGTCTAAAAATAATTCTATATGGAAGCCTGGGTCCTATATTTAACATTATTTTGAGTTCTGTAAAGATTAGGTGGAGTTGTCTCTTTTTATCTTGCATCTTTGTATCCTTTTTCCCAAGCTAGGACATTTTGGGAAAGTCTGTAACAAATTGTCAGCCAGGTATTATTGTAAAAGGGTGAAAACTGGTAATGCAGTGGAGAGAATATAATTGGAGTAGGAAATACAAAATCAGAGAAGAGCCTATGATACATAAAAATGTAGGTGGGGAAAAGGAAAAGGTGCCTCCCATCTTCTAGTATTTTAGAAATTGGGGCGTGGGAGGGCTAGGGTAGTTTAATCTGTAAAACGAGTCATTGGTCTTGGTTAATATATTTCCCCTTCTTTAAAAAATAGAACTGTATTTTTTTATACTTCACTAAGGCCTTGAGCCAAACCCAGCACTTGTTTTTTAAAATAATGTTTTATTGAAACCACTATACCCGTAGCCTTCATTCTACAAAGGAAGACACTATCCTATAAAGCCTTTTACAATTAGACTCTTCAGAAAGTTGACTGATTAATGCTTTATATTTCAACAGTATATAATAACTCAAAGTATTGGAATGGGAGTTGATGCCAGTTTATAGGCAAAATGGTTGTGTTTTTGTACTAATTAAAATTGAAAGGAATGAACATTGCATTGTTTAAAATGGATCACATGCCCTGACGGGTATGGCTCGGTCGGGTGTCGTCTAGTGCACCCACGAGGTCCTTGGTTTGATTCCAGATTGTGGGCTCGATCCCCAGTAGGGGGCATGCAGGAGGCAATCAACCATTGTTTCTCTCATCGATGTTTCTCTCTCTTCTCTCCCTCTCCCTCTCTCTAAATATCAATAAAAAATCTTTTTTTAAAAAATGGATCACAGAAGTCATTTGGCATTATGTGCTTAGCTGTGTAAATATACCGTATTTTCCAGAAAATTTATGCATTAGAGTAAGTAAATTATCTTTTACTAAAAGAATATTTGGAACACTTTATTAATATCCAAAATTAATAAGCCAATATTTTTTTAACAGGGTCTGGAAAAACTGCAGCATTTCTTTTGCCTATATTGAGTCAAATTTATACTGATGGTCCAGGGGAGGCTTTGAAGGCTGTGAAGGTAAAGACTTGTGTAAAACAAGTTTTTTCGTAGAAAACAGTTTGTAAATACTTGTTGGGACCTTTCTCTATATACCAAACATACTTTATTTACATTTCCACACTTTTTTTTTTTTCTTTCAATTTATTCCTCCATTGAAAATTTGTTGGGGGGGGGGTATAATTTTTAAATTAGAATGGGAATATTTTGTTAGGACTTCTATAAAAGTTTTAAGTCTTGGAGTCTAATCTATAAATTGTTCTTACTTCTTAGGAAACTGGGAGGTATGGACGCCGTAAACAATACCCAATCTCCTTGGTTTTGGCCCCAACAAGAGAATTGGCTGTACAGATCTATGAGGAAGCCAGAAAAGTACATATGCGTTTTACTGATAATTAGCATCTTCATTGATTCTAAATGTTTTCATGACCACCTAGTTAATTCTTTGCTTATAGTTTTCATACAGATCTAGAGTTCGTCCTTGTGTGGTTTATGGTGGTGCTGATATTGGTCAGCAGATTCGAGACTTAGAACGTGGATGTCACTTGTTAGTTGCCACTCCAGGACGTTTAGTGGATATGATGGAAAGAGGAAAAATTGGATTAGACTTCTGCAAGTATGTTAATTTCTATATAGGGATATAACTTTTTTAAAGTTAGTAGTTGTCATTAATATTATAGCACTTTATTATTAATTTTAAGATGAAAGTAATTTTAATAATTTAACTATTTTCTTGAAAATTAATATTAACCTTATTTTTTTATTTTTGTTTGTTTTTTATTTTCAATTGTTAATATGTGTTTATTGCCACTTTCTTTTTTTTAAATACGTCTTTATTGATTTTGTGGAGGGTAAGGGAAAGTGGGGGAGAGAGAGAGAAACATCAGTGGTGAGCCATTGACCAGCTGCCTCCTGTACATGCCCCTACTGGGGATGGAACCTGCATCCCAAGCATGTACCCTGACCAGGAGTCAAACTGAGTTCTGGATCATAGGTCAATGCTCAACTGTTGAGCCACTCCCAGCCGGACTTTTTTCTTCTTAAAGCACATTCTTTAACATTTCATGTAATAATACTGGTTTGGTGGTGGTAAACTCCTTTGGTTTTTTTCTTGTCTTTTTATATGTTCTTTGATTCTAAGTGATAACTTTGCTGGATATCATAATCTTAGTTGTAAGTCCTTGCTTTTAATCACTTTGAATATTTCTTGCCACTCCCTTCTTGCCTGAAAAGTTTCTGTTGAGAAATCAGCTGACAGTTGTGTGGGTGCTCCCTTGTAGGTAACTAACTGCTTTTCTCTTGCTGCTTTTAAGGTTCTCTCTTTGTCTTTAACCTTTGGCATTTTAATTATAATGTGTCTTGGTGAGTGCCTCTTTGGGTTCCTCTTGTTTGGGACTCTGTGCTTCCTGGACTTTTCCTTCACTGGGTTAGGGAAGATTTCCATCATTTTTTCAAATAGGTTTTCAATTCCTTCCTCTATCCTC